ATTTTATAATTTTTGATTGTATAATTAAGGATTTAAAAATTGTCAAAGTTGAAATTTATAATAAAAACATAGTAAGTAAACTCAAACTTTTGGAAGTAACTATATATATATATTTTTATTGAAGTATTTTTTATCAAAAAAAGATTTTGAAAAATAAATTTTTGAAAAAAGTTGAATAAATTTTTATTAATAATTTATTAAAGAAATTTTTTATATAATTATATATTTTTAAATATTTATTCTTTTTTTTTTTAAAAAATTTATTTATTTTTTTTTTTTGTAGTTTCTTGTATTTTAGTGATTTAATAAAATAAAGTAAAATATCAATAATTTATAAATAATAATATATGGTTTAGAAAAAATTTAATTTAAATTTTATTATAAAATAAAATATTGTTTTCAAGGTCATATTTAAAAACCTATATTGTTTATAACAAGTTTATTAGATTTGAATAGAAAATTTTAGTTATAGTATACATTATATTATTTAAATAAATTATGTTTATGCATGTATTGTATTCAATTAATTATAAATTATAATTTAATTTAATTATAAATATTATAAAAATAATAATTAATTAATTAATTTTTAAAAAAGGTATCATTATTAATAAAAAAAAAAGTAAAACCAATTTTTGAAAGTTTTTTTTTTTTTTATTATTATAAAATACCGTAAATATTAGATACGAGTTTATTAAATATTTGATACAACCATTACTGTATATACTGTATATAGTTGATCATAAGTTTTATTATAAAAGCTTAATATTATTATTTAGGAAAATAAATCTTTATACTGTAGTAAATAAATGATCGATATTTATTTTATTAATACCATATAATTAAATAATTAAAGAATCGCTCGAATTATTTAATTAAAAAATAGTGAAACTATTAAAGTATTAAAAATAAATAAATCCATGTTTTGACAAAATGGCAGTAATGACAATAAACTAGAAACAAATTGCTTTAAAATATTAGATTATATTATACAGTATGTATATATATATATATAATATTAATTTAGATAAATTTATTAATACATGCCGTATAGTTGAAGCTTAAAAATCATTTATAAAATTTAATCAATCTGTTTTGTTTACAGTATATTGGTTGTTCAAATATTTCTGATATGGGAAAACAGTAGAACAACCAAAAGCGGCATACTCACCGAATGAGCAAAGATATACAATAAGTCAGATTCAAACAGGTATTCTTGATCTCTTGTGCGAACGCATGAGCGTACGGTTGGAGAATTAACGGACCGAAACTCCGAAATCCATGCAAACTTCATATGGAAAGTTTGGACACTTTTTAGCAACAGGAGATTCTACCATACCAAAGCATCCATTTGGAAGCATCTTGTAAAATGGACACCAGATTCATGTGCTCAAATTATGGGGTGGATTTCCGGTTTCACCTTCCCAGTTTCGACAACGGAGGCTAGCGTATTTTCGCGCATACGTAAGCGCGTGCGTACACACGTACCTACATATGACTAAAAGACGCATGAATTAACAATTGGGAGTACGTGATCATTCCAATATAGCGGTAACGACCTATTTTGGCAGGAGGAATTCATGATAAGGCATTTTTTAATAAAGAGCATTAAATCAAAAGTGGAATAAACAATTGATAAGCGTAATAAATTTCTTTTCACGAACCTTATTTTTATATCACACCAATCGCATTTCTTTTATTCCCTTATATCACAGTGCTATTGTTCGCCGGTCTGTGTTCTCAGTCTTTGTTAAGCACCACTCCACAATTTTGGTTTCTGCCATCCTCGTCATAATCAGCCAAGTCTTCTTTCTGGCGTCATTTGGACACATGCAAATTGCACAATCCGATTGATTGATTACAAATTTTTCTTTGTCAGGTCGAATCCTTGTTCTTTTTGAGGTTATGGATTATATGACCAGCACAGCGGCGCATCTTTTTTCACCCTGAAAAAAATTTTTTTAACAAAGACATTGAAAAAAGTAGTACGAAATAGCACGCCAAGTTTCTTGTTTGTTTTGTGCAATTGTTATTGATGATAAACAAAAAAAAAAATAGAATAAAATCAAATAAGCTTTTAATAATGGAAAAAGTAAAAGAGCCTTACCTTTATTGGTTTAAGCACCGGAACAGACGTAAATAAAGTTCTCTTCAAGGTGATAGGGAGTTCGTGATAAAGATTCCAGTGCAAACATGCGATCACAGCAATCACCGTATATGCATATGCGTGTGAGAATTAGAAAACAATGATGCGAGTTACAGTACAGTACGGTACAGTACAGTACTGTACTGTACTGTATATAATTGAGGTTGTATCATAATCAGCTTAAAGTTGAATAATGGTTGCGAGCTTTATTTGTTGTTCAACAAATTTGGAATAAAGAAATATTACATCGTGGTACGGATTAACTCTTTGGCTTTTCTTTCTTCACTGGTTACAACTTTGCCGTCATCGTAAAACCTTGGACTTTTTTGCGATACCCGAATGTTTTTCCTTAATACGTAAGTACGGTAGGATGATTAATTTCGTAAAAAAAATATTTTCAACACCATGAGAGATGTCACGAGACGAGTAAATGAAACTGACCATGGCAACTAGCAAGCCAACGAGCAATTAGTTCATCTAAACGCGCTGTCAGACCAAGCATTGGACAAAACCTGTTTCCTCATTGAGGAAATTAATGAGTTTTCATTTGATGAAACGTGACATTATTTCATTGTTGGAGGAAATTGACCAATCCAATTTAAATTAATTTGCAACATTGATTTCGTAATCATACTCGAGAGAAACAATCACGGTATTTTATTTTCGGCAAAACCGATTCGCGACGGCCAGTTAGTTATTTAGCATACCTGTTTCTCGTATTTAGAAAGAGAAAGAACTATTCTTTGATTAAAAATCCAAGATTGGCGAACAGCAAACATATGGTGTAAACGGTTTATGGTAAGGGTGAAACAAAAAAAAAAAAAAAAAAAAAACTTTTCACTGTTTCCCCACATGGCGCTTGTCGTAAATATGCTAAGCTATACGCGGTCAAATGTAATATGCTCAATTTGGTAGTCGAGTAATCGACAAAAGAAAATTCCACGTGGTTTCCTCGTGTCTCAGTCCCTGTGTGCCTTAAACTACGTGCCAAATGATCACGAGTTCCGTGGAAGTCGCGAAGAACTTTAGATCCTTTAGGCAAATGAAAATAGCAAGTTAAAAACATCTGTGGAAAATAATAATAATAAGAATAATTTTTTTTAATAAATCAACATGCACTCAATCAATGAACCAAACCAAAATAGCAAACACGGGTATTAGTTTATGCCTTGTGAAGAATTGCTTCTTAATTATTCCATGTAACGAGGCGGGGCTGCCGAAGTACGCACATGCACGATTATTAATCACCTTACCTTTTAACGGAACGGAGCTCGCTGAATATGGTTTGGGACAGGAGTCGATCATTATTTAATGAGACAAAAAGAAAGTTTTATTTTGGGGGGGGGGGGTTTAAGGTGATCGAAAGAACGCATCGCTTAATTAGGAATACCGTTTCACAATTAATTGGGCTTTCGAAGTCAAGATCGAATTGCCAATAATTTCTCAGGCTGAAACGTCTCGAAATTCTTTGACGCCCGGTACTTCAGTATTTTCGTATTTCCCCTTGTAAACAGCCCACGACCATTGAAAACCTGCAACCCATATACGCACTCTAGGCGTGTGTGTGTGCGTGTGCCGTAAGTGCTGTGCATTAATTATCGACGCACTACCTTTTACCTTTAATAGATTAATTCATTCAATACATCTGCAAATCAGTTGCTTCGAACGCACAGTAAGTAAGGTGGGTAGGTTTATTTCGTCTAATTCAATGTGAGTAACGTGCTTGCATAAATTGTGAACATTTGCGATTCACAAAAGATGTCATTGTCATTTATCTTGAAGTCCGAAAGGTTACCCCTCCGAGTTTTGGCTCTTGTTGTGCCAAACTTGGAAATCATGTTCGTGGGGTAATTAAGAGTGTCTCTTGGAATAAAAAAAAAAAATTTTTTTTTTTTTTTTCATTTTTTAACGACCTGAGCCGCAGACTCCGTAAGCAAATTTCGAACTAAATTCGAGGCAATAAGTTACCACTAGTATATAGACGGATGGACGGTTGGTCACTGAGCGAATAATAGTGGTAAGTGACATTTTTTTTTTTTCTCAAGTTCCACGAACTTACGCACGTACGTAATCGGAGTACCGTGTATAATTACATAATTAAACTAGATTTTCTACCTTATTAAGCCGTTTTGGAGATTTGTGTCAGCATATCACACGATGAGACCGTCACACAAAATGCGCCTCGCCTTTAAATTTCTATTGCTATGTTCCAAATGAGGAAAACAGGAGCATCTTTTTAAAAAAGGCATCGTATGATGTGAACACAAAGGCAATATATTTTTTTTTCAGGCTGGTGAAATTGTGTGATATAGTGTTGCCGAATCGGGTTTAAGTGTTTTTTAAGTGATAATTTGTCCTCGCACAAAAAAACACAAAGATTTTTTTTTTTTTTTTTCATTAGAACTGCAGTATATAAAATCAGTGTACCCCTTCTTCTTCTTATGCTAAAATTGTTTCTTTCCCTCTCTTATCTTCCAAGTTTTCAACAACACTTGTAAAAAAAAAAAAAAGTTGACAATAATTGCTTCTTCTTTTTTTTTTTGTTTGTTTGTATTTTTCTCTTAGAGGGAGGAGAGAAAAGAGAGGATCATTCATTAGAATTGCCACTAAAATTCCACGGTACCTTTGCTTCACCACTAGACGCTTCTTCGTTGATCGAATTTTTTCTTCGGCTTAGAACACAATAGATTTGTTCTTATATAGTTAATCACAAAACTCCTATTCGATTTATTTATTTACCTATTCGTCCATCTATTTATCCATTTATCCATTCGTCCATTCATCCGTTCATTCATCATTACAAAAAAAAAAGAAAATCCATTTTCATAAAAAATTCACATCAGAGATGGGTAAAGTAAATTCAAAGTCCATTCGTTCCCTCTCAAATCCATCATCTCCCACATCCCCAACGTTGAAGCGTACCAAACGCCCGCGTCAAAAGTCCAACGCCAGTTCCACCACATCTCAGGAATCAAGCGCTTCCTCGGTGGACGGTACCACCCAGTGCCCGTCTCCTTCGTCGTCACAGGAAAGTCTTTTCGCGCAATTTCGCTCAACGGATTTTGACATATACCAGTACATCGGCAGTCGAAAGTTTTGCAAGGGTGATTCGGATGACATCAATTATATCTATCCGGTTGACGAAGATGAGATCGATAGAGTTCAGATGCAACATTTTATGTACAAGCATATCTGGAATGGTAATTTTTCGTCTCCCGTGGAGGATCTGTTGCTCAAGGAGGAGACCACGGTGCTAGACATTGGGTAGGTACTCGTGATGGTAAAACCCGCGTGCAATCATTTCTCCTCCTTTCCCGGTCATCTTCATTCATTCTCATTTTACTTTACAACCGAATTAGCTGTGGCTCTGGCGCCTGGCTCTTAGAGATGGCCACCGAATATCAGAATCCAAAGTTCACAGGCATAGACATTGCCCCTCTCTATCCGTCAGAGATCAAACCTAACAACGTCAAATTCCAACAGGCCAATGTACTCACCGGCCTCCCGTTCGAAGACAACACCTTTGACTTTGTGTACATACGATTCATGATTTTCGCCTTCTCTGTCAACGACTGGGAACGCGCCATACAGGAGGCCGTCAGGGTGACGAAACCCGGCGGTTGGATTGAGATCATGGAAAAAGACATCTACTGGCACAACGAAGGTCCCTTCTGTAAGGCTGCTCGTACCGCAGGTTTTTATCCATCTACCTCTCCATCTATAATTTCCTTTTACCATTAATCAAATCATGCGTCGACAATAAGTTAATCGCATGTTACTTCCATTTTCATCCTTAGTCGCTGATGCTTTGCGAGAGAGCAAAAACATGGAAATCATTGTATCTCCATTATTATCAAAACTGCTGTCTTCCGTGCCCAATCTCTCCCAGGTAAATCACGATGATCGTAATGTGCCATTCGGTGAATGGGCGGGCAAGTTAGGCGGAATATACAAAGACTTGTATACCTGGGGTGCCAAGAATTTAAAGAAATTCATGTCAAGCATTGGATTCATTGAAGACGAATGGGATGATACCGTCGATGTTTGCATCAAGCATTTGGTCGAGAGGAAAGGTTTTGATAAGATTCACAGATTTTGGGCAATGAAGAATGAGTAGGCTACGCATTTACCGGAGGACATCATTTTGTGGCAAAAAAAAAGAAAGAAAGAAAGAAACGTCGAAAAAAATCTCCTAGTATATGTTCGTTCATTCATCCCCTATATTCTCTATCTCCATATATATATATACATACATACATACATACATATACATTCCGTAAAAAAAATCTGTAAATTTCTTGTTTTATAGCTTTTTCCTTCTTTACATAGACATCTTCATACTATATATTATGTTTCTATAATTTTACACATTCATTCCCAATAGTACATATACAACCTTGCAATCATTACCCATACATATGTAACATTTATTTAGCGTATTCGCGCACACTCCTATTCTGTCATAATCACATCTCGTAAATATTTTAAATACCGACACCGCAAAAAAAATTTCATTATTACACTTTATGACATCTTATGTATATACCCTAACTCTCACTAGATTCTCTCCTTTTTCCCAAAAATTTCCATTCGTACCCTAAATACTGTAAGTGATGATGTTATTTAATAGTTTATGTTTATTTTGTTGTCTTACAATAATAAAAAATTCGACGACTCGACATTCGTTAAACGTAAATGAAAAGTTACACGATACAATAAAAACAAATAAGATGCCTAAAATTGGTCACATAATACCCCTGATATTCTCGCGTCCATTATGTAAACAAGGACCCTGGTGTAAGTATGTTTTTTCCCCAGGAAGTCGGAAATTAAAAAAAGATTTGCCGATTTTAAGTTGTCTAGGCTTAAAAACGAATGGTCGTGTCACACTAACCTATATACACGTTTAATTATTTTTTTTTAAAAAAATACGCATACAGCATATATTTACTGCACACACACACACACACATATATATATATACCTACTTCTATGCATAGAAGTTTATGCATATACCGGGAGTCAAATATTGAAATATCAGACGCGACCACCATACTACCATAAATATTACAAACACCGCGTTGGTCTAACGTCTTACAGGCTTGCTCGACGATGGTGAAGAGATAACGGCAGGTACGTCTCACGTAAATTTTACTCCGTTCACATGGAAGCATCGATCTTTGGAAATTAAAAATCAAATAAGAATACAATTAATAATAACGAATAAAGACTGTATACAGTATAATACTGTGTGTATAATAATGATAATTCCAAATGAGGGTAATATTATTAAAGGCGTTTTAAGAATTGCAACGTTTATGTAATCGTTATCGAGATGCGGCATTCCTATTCAACTCCAAAAATGAAAAACGATTTCACCATCACCTTTTACGCATAAGTGATTGTGTGATGTGTCACATGACACCTTGAACTTGTCACGTTAACGGTCTCGATCAAAAAACACATCGACCGTTTGCGGATGTTTATTTTGAGTGCGCCCTCTTGTGTTTTCCTTTTTTTCTTCCTCCTCCCTTTTTTCCTTCGTAATCGGAATTTACAGGATTTTCGATTAGTAATTGTATGATGAGTTTGGGAGTGTTGCCTCCTGTATGTGGTCAGGTGTTATTCTCAATCACAAAGCAAAATGTGAATGGAAGAAACGTGTTCATTATCTTGCGTTTCCTTTTCATGCAATATACAAATGTGCAACATCAGCCGAAAGATAAGCTTATTGATGAGACAAGGAAAAAGGAAGAGAACAAAGAATTCTGCATGTTTTAAGATGGAGTGATGTCGTCTTTTTTTTTTGTCGCACGTTTAACGCCTCCATGACATTATCTTATTCTTTATCATCCAATAATTTCGGGACATATTTGGCCATTTGGCTAGCTCACACAATAAGTCAAGGCCACGGAGTTTCGGGGAAACATTCAAGTGAATTTTAACCTTAATTCTTGTGTTCCTGAACTCGGAAAAGGGAAACGAGATTGCGTGATAAATTTTGACCCGTTGATTTAGGAATCTTCTGAAAAAAGAATTTCACAACAATTATGGTTTAGCGTGGTCCATTGACGAATGTTGGGTAATGAAATGTGAAATGTGCGCGCTAAGGTATGAACTCTTTTTTTCTTTTTTTTTTTACAGCATCTAGAACCACTCGTTTCATTCAAACCTCCTGATCATGTGCCACCTCATTGCACAAACGTAATTATCAATTAAGACAACCTCATCTCGTTTAATAGCATCTTTTAGAGGAAACAAGAAATTTGAAAATCATTCAGCATTCAATCTGGAAACAGAATAGAGTCTCCACACCTGCGATCACCGACTTCCAACCGTCATTCTTAGAATGCCAAAATAGGGTCAATCGTAAGTTAACGGTCTTCCAGAAACACAATGAACACAATGAACTATGTAATATATGACGCATCGCCATATCTCATTCGATCGCTTCTTCTTTAAGGCTGCATATGTCTAATAAAACCATTACAATTTTGGAATTGAAAAAAAATTTCGTGCACAAATGTTATGGCGATCGTTTGTGCGCGATGTGGAGTCGATCCGGTTACGTAATGGCGACATGTTACCACGAATTGCCTTCACATGACTTCTGCTACAGTCCCGGGTGATAGGCCCAAACGCCAGCATGCACCGGCTCTTGGAATTCGGGGGATCAGCAGAATACGGTAGGAAGACCGTTTGAATTAAGGAATTGCGTGAATAGGAGGTCGTAACCTGCGCCATGAGGTTTACATCGCCCTCCAATCGGCAGCTCTCGGCATGACCGGCGTAAACACCGAAAAACTTTGGTAACTGTGCCACTACGGATTTGGGATGGTCTGGAAATACGTACGCATGTAAGTACATTATGTGTGCGCACAAAATTATTGCATTTTTCTTTTACAGGAGGTCGATGTGGTGAAACCGGCGGGGATGATTTGAAAGTCGAAGAAAGGATTATTCGTCCCCTTTGAAGCATACAAAACGGTGTAGACCGGGATAATTAGGACTAGATTCCGTGATTCAACGAACGGAAGGCCAAATGAAGCACATGGTGAAGATGACACGCTCACAAAGATGACTTTCGAAAAATGGTAACAAAGTCATGAGCTTTAGAGTTCTCTTTGTATGCTAAATTCTCAGACTGACAGAGAAAGTGTTAACCAAATTAGTCACTAATGTGTGGCCATTACTTGATGGATATTGTAGCACAGCCTTTCCAAATTCGATATTTGATTCTTTTCTTTTAAACCTCGAACTACAGATATCGCGAAACAGTATTACATTATCCTCCTTATAGCGGAAAGCCGTGTCTCCCCTGAAAATCCAAAGAACTCGGAATTTCTTGATTAATTAATTTTCTCGATGAATGAATAATAATTATAAAAAAGGTAAAAACCGTTTGCTTGAATATCGGCTTGAGGGCATTCCGTCATAATAAAAAAAAGTGTCGCGGTCGATTGTTACATGCTTTCCGGCAAAACTTGACCAACAAATCGTTTATCGCTTCGAAAAGAAAAAAATTTTGTAGCTGAATTATTTTTAAATCTATTATCAATTTCTTTATATACTTTTCATGTGCATAAATGACATGGTGCGAAAGGTGAGGAGGACTCACAACGAACCATATAACCATCACCCAAACAGATACTATTGCCACAAAGAAAGTGGGTTTTATTTTTCCTGCATTTCGCTAATTAGATGTCAACTCTTTTAAATCACATTTGCATGAGCTTCGAAATTTCACAAGGTTAAAGGTGTAAAAAAACTCTTTTTCCATTTGAAATTGCAAAAATTTTCTTTACCTAAATTAAAATCGAGATAAGCGTTCTCTTGACCAATTTACCACCCATGTCTTGAGCAAAACATGTAAGATGCATTAATCTCAAGAAGACGCGCTTTTCCTGGAGTACAAATGTCTTTTCCCTTTACTCAAAGGCATAATGCGATCGATCAATTTAATCATCGTACCAGCATTCATTCCCTTGATCAAATCATTAATCTTAAATCCACCTTCCTCCACATCTTCACCCTTCCTCACCCCCTTGTCGTCTTTATTTCTCTCGGCATCTTCGTCACTCGGACACCCTTCGTCTTCAGGTTCATCATCTGCCTCCGCGAGAATTTCGTCGAAAACCGCCAACTCTGCTAGTGATGGTGGATCGTCTTCATCTATGTTGGCGTCCATTGAGGACCACGACATTACTGTTATGATATCATCTTTCTCTTCGTCATCGGAGGTTAGATCAATAAATGTGATTCCAGCCGGTATTGCGCTCTTTATGCTCGAGTTCTGCGGAATTTTTTGGACACGAGCACCCACGGATTCCTTATCCCTCAAATAATCCCCTTCTGGTGAAATTGGTTGAATGGAATCTCTTATCGAACTTGCACCCTTGTCCGTTTCATGCTCAGCATTCTGTCTAACTAAATTAGCACCAGAATCATCTACTTCAACTAAATTATCACTTACATCCTTTTCCTCTCTTTTTTGATCTTGACCTAATGACGCGTCCCGACGAACAATACCCGACGAACCACTATCTACACCACCAACTTTTCTTCTCCGACCGCGAAATACCTCCGCACTCGCCGACTCACACATCGATTCATCTTTTATTGTCACATCTTCAGAATTACTTTTTAAAGTGTCCTCCGAATTTGTCCTTCCAACCGAATCGTCTAACACCGCAGTCACATTCTCCGATCCCTCTGTTAATCTGCCTCCTAGATCACCTGCACCCGACGGTTTTTTGATGTTCGATTCGTCCGTTTTCACGCTCGAAGACCCCTCCATTCCTTCCGACAAACTGTCTTTTGACGATGCTTTTAAATAATCTGTCGGTTTGTCACACGGATTCTCGATCACGGTTTTTTTAGGACCACCCATTGCTGTATCCACGGAACCATCCCTTGGCATGTTCAAATCATCCGTCGACCTAACTGACGAATTTTGCCCTACCTCGTCCGTCGAACCATTCTTTTTCACACTTGATGAATCACTAATGTTCGCATTCATTAACTTGTCTACTAATACTTCCGAATCAGATTTATTAATCAAGCCATTCGCCGAATTGCTTTTCAATGTTGCTGCTCTTAAATCGTTGATCGGCTCACCATTCGTCGTTCTTCTATCTATTAGACCATCTCTTGATGCATTCATACAATTGTTCCTTGATATAACTTTTGAATTATCTGTTGGCTTGTCGAGTGAACCTTTTGCCTCCACACCATTGAGGCCATTCGCTGTCCCATCTACCGAATCAACTTTTGATATTACTTCCAAACTTTTAGCAATTTCCTCGTCAGGAAAACCCACCATTACAACATCCCCAGAACCATCTATTTTCGCGTCCGCCGAGTCATTCGGCGTCGTGTTTGATAAATCGTACGTTGCTATGTCACCTGATTCT